CTGAAAGCCTCACACTTGGCCCTGGCACTTTGTAGCTTTTTCCCAGCAGGATGCCTGGTCAGCACCCATGGACACATAACTGGGAGTAGCACTGGCCTTGACTACAGAGTAGAGTGTTTCCTGTAGAGAGGGCAAATATTTTCACTTACCATTTGTACCCTGTGAGTAGCCAGGGCTAGCCTTTCTTTTTCATTAAAAGCCAGGGGGCTGAGCAGACATTTACTGGAGGTGTGTAGTGTGAGAAGGGTCCAGGGTTAAACCCCAGGTCTTCTCATATGATGTAGACCTCAGATTATCTCAGGTGGTGATGGTTTCAGTTAACTGTATTAGGAAAATACAGAGAGGGGCCAAGGAGAGGGGGAAAAGTTTGCATAGAATCCAAGGTGTGGCTGTTTGACTACATGGTGATTACTCCTGTGTATGTTGACTTGATAATTTAAGAGGGAAACAGGCAGTCTCTATTTGGTTCCTATGAATCACAGCCTCATTACGTAAAATGTATCACACCTCAAATAACTTGCTAATGAGTAAGTTTCAACATTATCGAAAAATGAAATGAGTAATTATTAGAGTAGAACTACTAGATAATCAGTTCTTTCAAAATTCTGGAATGTCTTTCTGAACATTGAATGCCTCTAAAAATAAGGATGGATTCATCTTCGAAAGTATGATTTGATTTTTTGGAGCAAATTGCCTTCACTGTGTTTTGAGATCTGCATAGATCTTGCGATGTCCGGGGTACAAAAGACAATAGAGTGGATTTTTATAATGTGGTAACTCAGTTCTTCCTTTAAGAAGGATGTTACTCCCCCAATCCCCGGCAAAACAGACTTTCATTTGCTGAGAGGAATATTTTTATCTTCACTCTACACCTAAATCGCTAATCATACTAGCTAACATTTGTGAATACTTTTTGAGTCAGGTAAGTGCAGATTGCTTTATCTGGGAGATCTCACTTAATTCTTTAGAAGTCCTGTGCGGTGGGTGCTTTGTATCTCTCTTGCACAGATGGAAAACTTTAAGAGGGTGAGCACCTAGTGGAAAGTTAAGGTAGGAAGTAGCAGAGCAGGAATTCACAGGCCCTGTGCCACAGTCTGGCCTCACCTGGCACTATTAATGAGATGTTGTGTGTTCCTTCAGGTATGTCACGCAGCGTGGACAGTCTGTGTTATAGTTTATATTTTCATTTTTGGTCTGAACCTCTTGGAAAAATCTTTTATGTTTTAGTCCCTCGGGAAGGAAGGGTCTTAGATGAGCTGTAAGGAGTTATTGGGGTTAGTGTAGCTTGCGTACATAGTATGAACACTTTCTAATATTTATGAAAATGTTCAGACATTCTTAAATTCAGTGAAGAGAAATTTTCATTTTATTAAAATTTGGAGGGCAACCTCTCTCTCTCTCTCCTTCTCTCTCTCTTCCTCTCTCCTTTTCCCTATCCTCCCTCTCTCCCTCTCTCTGGCTGTGCTTGCGTGAGTGTGTGTGTGTATTCAGAGACGGACGTTATCCAGGACGATTAAACCAGTTAAGTGAGTATTTTTTATTTACTGAGTAACCTTTTGTACCCTTAACAGTGGAAGATTATTTCTGAATGCATATTGCATGGTAAATACACTAATTTATTTAAACATATAAATGGAAATTGAAGGTAAGGTTTTTTGTTTGTTTCCAAGCCTAGTGCCTGATGCAGTTGAGATACAGAACTCTCCTCCTGAGTCCTTCTAGAGTGCTTCTGGGTGTTTGATGTTTCATGTTGATGGTTCCATAGCTTTCTTGAAAGTTAAACTTTCTGTGTTTCAGTCTCCTTGCTGGTAAAAGTAAGGATTCACTTTCTGGAATAGTTAGGATTATTTAATTTAAGTATTTTGTGGATTCACAGATAATGAGAAAAATTGGATAGCCCAGAACTCATGTCTTTTTTATCGTTTAGATGTCTGTAGGACCTACAGGAAATTGTTCTCAATCTGATGGATTCTGACCTCTTTTGAATGTTGATTTTTAAAAGTGAGCTTGTATATATTATACAAGAAACAGATGTGTTTATCACAAAACATATGTAAGCAAAAATAAGATTAGCTATAATTCCACCACTTAGAAATAATTACTATTAATATAGTTTGTGTTCATTTATATAATACATACTTGTAGAGTTATGGTAATTGGAATCATACCCCATGCATTGTTTCATAATTGCTTTATAATTAATATATGAAGTATTATTTATAAGTAATTTAGATTTATGACATGAATTTTAAGTTTCATATGATTTTCTGACCTATGGCTATTTTATCATTTAACCAATTTCTTATTGTTGGACATTCAGGATATTTATGATTGTTATACATAATGCTGTGAACAATTCTTCTAGTGTTCTTGTCCTGGTGTCTTGGCACACAGTCCTACATCTGCACATAGTGGGTCTGAGAGCATGTGTATTTAAAACTTCAGATGCATACCACAAATTGATTTATACTGTAATTTCTAGAATGGCAGTGTCATTTTGTGTTACCTTCAGTACGCTTTCCATCATGAGTGTATTAAATGTATTCAGATACTCTACAATGAATGCATATCTCCAAAAGCATATACACAACATGCCAGACATTTATGTCCTTAAAATGTAGGCTGTTTAAATACTTTGGTGTAAGTCTTTTTTTTTTAAATTGAGATAACATTGATTTATAACACTATATAATTTAGGAATATACACTTTACTTTTTATATTATATCTTTATAAATACAGTATTAGTGAAGTCTGTTCTTACAGCATTACTATGTAGATTTTGGTGAGTATGTAAGAGTATATTAATACTTTGCCAAAAGGAGAAGGGATATCTGAAATTGACAACATATTATGATTTGCCTATCTCTGTAGTTCTTTTTTTTGGAAAATGAATAATTGTGGATCCTTGGGTTTTTGAGTAGCCCCTCACATTCCATTATTTCTACTTTATTAAATAATACTCTGAACCTAGTTCAGCCTTGTCTATGTGGTACAGAGGTGTTCCTTTGAGCGTTAATTATTGGAGTGCATTGTCAGAGTGTTAACTTGAAGGTCAGTAAATATAATTAGGTTAAGCATATGCTGCTATTAGCCACCCTCAGGTATTTATTGCACAGTATCTCACCATTGCAAGTAAAAAGTAGGTGATGTTTTTCCTATTTCAGATGAACAGACTGGAGTTATTGATCTCAAGGTAGTGAAAGAGAGATTTGAGCCCTTTCTCTTTCCATGTTTTCACTGCTACACTCTGCCTTCTGGACCTGCCCTACATGCGGTGGCAGATCACAGTAATTCACCTGTCTGTAGACCAGCACCCTTCTTTCTGCTACAGCATTGCTTCTACTCTACCTTGATTTGGGAATATCACCTCCAGGGTATCTCAGTGGTGGATCATTAAGTACTGGTGTCTCTGAGGAGCTTTCCTATGGCTAGAGAAAATGGACTTCGACTTCTGCTGTGGGCTTTCTCATGTGTGTTGCCTTTGGGTAGAAGTTGCCAGACAAATGAGATATTACTGTGCTTTTACTAGTTGGGAGCAGTACTGCCGTGCATTTGTTTAGGTTCTATTTGGAGAAAATTCAACAGAGGTGATGCTGCACAGACTACCTGAGATAATTCATGGGTTATTCAAGGTTTTTGCCCAAGGAATATAGCAATTCTGTATGGGTATGTTTTACTGCGTTTTACTAATGTGCTTGTGAGCTCTTTGAGGGAAGAGCTGTCGGCTTTTTTTTTTTTTAATCTCCATCCAGATAAGTGCCTGTAACAGACACTCAGCACTTTTAATTCATGCCACAATGTAGCCTTTCTATAGATTAAGGCCTTGTATAGGAAAGGGTTTTCTACTTCTTCCTGGATTCAAGTGTATCACCTGCTTCAGACTCCTCTCATGTTTATAGAATCAGCTTATGAAAAACTAACATTAATTCTGAAAGTAATTGTTTTGTCAGTTTACGTTATTATACCTGGCTGTAGCAATGTTGGGTGTTGTGGAAAGATGTAAGGACACACAGGGGTCCTAGCAGAGTTGGGAAGGGTGGCGGAAGCCCTGAGGCTCACCTGGGATGTGAGGGTCATGATTTCCCAAATCAGGTTTCCAAGAACCTTTCTCTTCTCCTAGTGGCGGGTGGCACCAAGGACTCCTGAGTACAAGTGGTTGGTACATTTCTAGTCCAGTTGGTGCCAGTGTTGTTGCTTTGCTTCCTACACATTCCTGCTGGGAACCAGAGGTTGTTCTTGGAGCAGCTTTTCCCACAGCAGCTGCTGCTTTCTCTGTTCCTGCTTCCTCTGTGGAATCCCCTTTCCCATCCCAACCACTCCACCCAGAGAGACAGAATCTGTAGATAGTTTTCTAGTGGTTTCTCTAAGAACACAGTAGTTGTAACCATAGGTGGCCTGTTCAAATGCACTGGCCTTAAGTTGGGAATTATTTAAAATATGCCCCATGATCCCCCTTCTCTTGCTCCTCTGCATCAGGATTTAGTGGTCTTCTCTCCAGGATATTTCAGTAAATAGGTCATTATACAAACCAGGGCCATTTCATAAATAAGCTTTAAGTAGATTCATGCCCTCTGTTATTGTGCTTTGTAATGAAATTTGAGGAACTTAAGGATGGAATTGAAATTAATGGTGCACATATAATTGTTGATATTTCAAATTTATATTTTAACCAGTTTTTATTTACACTTAGTAGAATAGATTATCCATTTTTTTAACAGAAAATATATTGGAAATTTAGTTTCTAGCCTTGTATCATTCATAAAATGGTCCATTACAGGAAACACTCATCAGGGTTTTTCTGTTTATATTTGTGCATACTAAAGTGGTTAACCTCTCTCTTTGTAACATAGAACTGCATGTAATTTTCTCAATGGAAATCTTTCGGTGATGTATGCTCATCCTTCAAGAACATTAGATGTATATTAATTAATTTTCTTCTGAATTTTATTGTGTACTATCCATGATCAAAAGAAAATTAATATCTAAATCTGTTTTTCAGGCAGTAACAGAGAAGGATTTTGAAACAAAAGATTTTCGAGCCTCTCTAGAGAATGGTGTTCTGTTGTGTGAGTAAGTATTTGCCACATTTAAAATGTATCTCAAAGAGGGGTATGTGTTTGTGTGTGTGTGTTATGAATGTCTTCAATCCCCACCCCCACCTCCCTTCTCCCCATGGCCACCATAGTCACAGATGTGTTTTCTTGATCACAGGTGAGATCTGATCCTGCCAACTGACACCCCACAGTAAGAGACAATCAGTTGGAAGGGGTTATCAGTCTCTGTATCTAAAGATAGCATTGGTGAAATATATATTATTTTTAATTAGTAAATAAGAAAGATTCTATTATTACTTGATGGGCCAGTGGTGTGGGTGGTTGAGCAGGAAGCCTTAGTATATTTTACCAGCTATTATTATTACTTAACGTGAATATCCTATGATATGGAATTGTTAATATGAAACCTTTCCCTGATCAATAATAGTGATGATTGTAGAACACATTTAGACAATAGCAATTTTTTCTTTAAAGCTTTAAGTGACAATGACAGTCAGTTGGGCTTTTGGGTCACTCATTCAGTGAACATGTTATTATTGAGAATATTTTCTCAGATTTTGGTTACCATAAGTAAAATAGGTGGTTCCAAGCCTGATAGAATGGGGCCTACATTGTATATTAGTGAACTTTTTTGTTCTCTAGTGGATGCACTATACTGTTAGATAGGAATGTGGCCTTGGGTGATGAGGAGCAAGTAGACCAATGGATGTAAGTACAGGGAACTGGGTGAGAGAAGTTGCAGAAGTGAGCATATAAATTATAAGAATGTACTTAAAGTACGCACCCACATTTTTGAGGGCACTTAAGTATTCCTATCTAGACACTTATCACATAGGTATTTTTGGAATCTGTCCGCATGTAAGCACTGGGAGTGTTATATGCTAGTACTTGAATGATTTTGATTATCCTTTTAAAGGAGATTGTTTTCAGCAGAGACAAGGAGTTGAGGGCTTAGATTTGGTCCATTACTTTTGGTCATTTGATCAAGTAACTTAACATCTGAGCTTTATTTTTTCATCTGTGAAGTAGAGATCAGTGATTAGTGATTTGCCTAATTCATGAAGTTGCCAACTTCCATTGTTTATATATTAAGGTTGTTTACACTGTCAAACTTTGTATAAATATATATTGTTGATAGGAAGGTGAGCATGCAGATAATAGTCTCCATTTGTCTTAGAGCAAATATTATTACATTGAACTGTGTGAAGTTGTTGATATTCAACTATAAATGGAAATGTCAATTTCATGTGACTCCACCTGATATATACTAGGACAGACATGAAGAAAAGCCATTAATAAAGCTTAAGGGATGTTTCTAGTCCTCTATAATGTCACATCAGAAATATTCCCAAACAATTTAAACTAATTTTAGTAGGTTCATATGGTCAGCCCAATTGATCATTCACAGGAAATTATCTTGCTTTTAAACTGTGTGAGTTAATGTGTTCTATATGATTTAAATGTGTTCTGATGTATTGAGAAGAATGAAGGGGGAAAGCATGCTAGAAAGAGCCATGTGTTTGCAGCAAAATACGTTTGATGTCAATTGTAAGCCCCACAAGGCAGGACTGATGTTAGCTGGGTTTATGTAAGAAGTGTGTCTATGAAACGGAGCTGCTTTACACATAAAATAGCATGTAGTCCAAATAAGCAATCTTTTAAAAGAAGTTACTTTGTGGTGACATACTTGTAGGACTGAACTATCAATCAAAACAATTTTAGGGATCCCTTTTTGGGGACATGCCTCCACTACTAGGTCATTAAACATACTTGATAATGATACATCTGAAGGGATGTGATCCTATATTTCTGACTCTCATTTAGTGTTGTAAGCCAGTATTACTCCAATAAAAATGAAAAAATAGAATAAAATGCATTTTATATACCATCCTGAGTTCTTAATGTTTTCAGGTGATTTTCAAAAACTGTACCCAATCTGAAAGGAGCATATTATTATCAATTAGAATATTCAGTTGATGAAAAGCTGGCCACAGGCAGTACAAAAAGAATAAATATATAAGTTCTGTCTTCGTGGTCACAGCAGGCATTTGGATACATGTTTAGAGAGATACTGGCTTTTGAAATAAATGTCACTTTAAGTCATAATCTTTCAATGACCTGTTGCTAGCTAGTTTCCTAATTGAAGTAATACCAGGGGGATTTGTGCATTACCGGATAAGTCTAGTCAATTTGCCCAGTGCCCAGTATTCTATAGAAGATTGTCTCCCAAATGTAGCCTGAGTAAATATGTTGTAGTAACAAACACAGTCTACCGTGGGGCACACATGATGTTTGTGTTAAAAAGAATCTTCTCTTGGGCCTCCCCGGTGGCGCAGTGGTTGAGCGCTGGGTTGCGAAGCTGCCCGTGGCCTCTGCTGCGCCGGTTCGATCCCCAGCTGCTCCCCGGCCACCAGAGGAGGGTCCCACATGGCACGCAGACCTCTCCTGCCGCCCGCTGCTCCCCTCAGCAGTGTACTTCGGTCCTTCTGCCTGCTCTGCTCCCTGCTCTGGCTCTGGTGAATTCTCTCACCCTCCTGCACTTTTGACTGTACCCAGTGCATGTATAAACAAAACAAACAAACAAACAAACAAATAAATAAAAAAAATGTCTCTATTAAAAAAAAAAAGAATCTTCTCTTGTTTGTGAAGCACATTGTTTTTAGCCACTGGGTAATGAAGGCATATTAATAAAAAAGAGGTAGTACTGGAAAAAAAGTCAAATGAGTATGTTCTGTTACTGACAAAAGACTGCTGGTAAGTACATTCTTATAATTTATATGCTCACTTCTGCAACTTCTCTCACCCAGTTCCCTGTACAGAATCAACTGTTCAGAAGCCTGGTGTGGTAAACCCTGACATCTAAATTAATGATAAATATAGTAAGCCATCTGTCCTTGAGAATGTTTTACCCAGAAGACTTTTCAGGTTTTGTTTGAAGTAGGATTAGTCTATTTTTAAAACCTGAATTAATTTCCTTACAGAGAAAGACTGACTTCTACTTGGTTCTTTGCCTTAAAAAATACTGATTCTTGTAAAATGTAGGGTCTGCTTGTTGCCAATTAAAAATCTCCATGTATCCTGGTTCATTATCACCATTAAATATTTTTCTTATGTTATCTAGTATTTCAAACATCTTTTATCCTTTGGTAATAGGGCATTCTTTTTGAGCTGGCATTCTGAAATATCAAGGTTGAGTTGGAAGAAACTGATTATAGCTTTCTACCAAATGGCAGTAGAGTGCTAACATTTCAGATAATTTGTGTTTAAACTGTGCTGAGGTTTGGACAAGATACACATCTGAGTAATGAGGATAGTTATATGCATTTATTACCTCTTAATCTGATTGATGATTGAAGTCAGTAGCTTCTGCTGATCATTTTGTATCATTTAGTTTGATTGAATGTGGGATATAATATGTTGAGGGCTAAAGAATGCTCCCTTGTTAGAGTCTGTTATAGTAATCTTCCCTACTGTACACATTAGACATGTAATCTCTCTTTATTAACCAGTGGGGTGGGAACAAAATCTAATTGGGGGCGGGGGAGGTGTTTCTGTTTAGTAAAATGATTGACAAGAGTTTGTAAAATGATTTTAGGTCTTTGTTGCAATTTTCTATGAGTTTTATTAATGGTATTCATTCATCTATCTTTTATCTTTGGTGTTTATCCATGTCCCTGAGGATTACCTTACTGTATGTTTTGCAAACAGGAGATTTGCCACCACAGAAATATCCACAATCCTTTCTTACTCTGTGGTTCTAGCAGAATTATTTCTCTCTTCTCTAAATATATTTAGTTGAGGGTCTCCCCAGTGTTGCAGTGGATTGAGCGCTGAGCTATGAGACTGTCCAGAGCCCCTGCAGCATGGATTTGATTCCCAGCTGGCCAGGGAGAAACCCACATGGCATGGTAGACCTTTCCTGCCTCACCTGCTGCTCCCCTCAGCAGTGTTTTTAGTCTGTCTGCCTGATCTGCTCCCCACTCTGTCTCTGGTGAATTCTCTCACCCTCCTGCGCCTCTAACCTGTACCCCAGTTCTTGCATAAATAAATAAATCTTTTATATATATATATATATTTATTTATATTTAGTTGAGACCTATCCAGCCAGTGATAGGAGTTAGTCATTTCACAGTTACTCATCTGGACTCATTTCTGATAGCAATCATGGAAATACTCAAATGAAAACAGGCTTTATTCTCCTTATGAAGTAAGGAGATGTATTTGAAGATAGTTTTATTGGCTGTGTCTCCAGTTAGTCAATCTATACTTCTCATCCTGGGAATAAGGCCAAGAGTTTGCTCTGTCCCAGGACAGCTGTGCACCAGAAGTTGATCCTCTTTGAGCTATGGGGCTCACATTATTGAGAAACTCTTCTCACCCTCGCAAGACCTTCTTTTCCATGGCTTTCAGCTTGGAAAGATTGGAGCAAGATGTTCACCTATTGGGTTTGAGAAATCCTGTTCTAATTATATGTGTTATTAGCTGCTATGCTATAAGGCTAAACACAACAAATGCTTTGTTAGACACATCCAACAGGAAAAGAATAAAACAATTGAAAAAAAATGGTCCTGTTAATTTACTATGGGATACTCAGGTGATTCTTTTAAGAAGAACTTGGTTTCTTCTCATTCATGCAGGACAGCCCTGTCCTTTTCTAGGGCTGCAGGCTTTGATCAGTATAGTGACATCAGTGAGCCCCAGGGCTTCTATTCTGGGCAACAAGAGAAGCTCAGAGGCCTATCTGTAATGGCAAAGGCTTTTTCTTAGGGCTGTTTATGGCACTGAATTTCCTGAGGTGATAGTTGCTTCCATAGAGCTCTCACTATGCCAACACCATCTCTTAACCCCATCCGTTATTATGGCCATTGAAAATTTAAGTAGTGAAAAAGGTTTTCTTCACTTATGTTAATACAAACTTTGAAGTATCCATAGTATTGATAATGTAGCAGTAGCAAACAAAGATACCAGTATTGTAGTTCATAAAGATAAATAAGAAATGATTAATATGCTTTTTTT